TATTATGCGAAGTTAATAAAGAGATTTGCATTCAAGAGATCCCTTTGGTTCAAGAATTTCTACATGTGTTTCATGATGAACTACCCAGACTGTTTGTGAATAGAAAAATCAAATTTATCATAGATCTTCAATCTGACACCCAGCCCAAGTCAGTTGCCCTTTACTGCATGAGTCGGGTATAGATGAAAGAGTTAAAGAAACAGATAAAAAAATTACAGGATAATAGGTTAATTCGCCAAGTATATCTCCTTGTGGTGCTGGAATCACATTTGCAAGGATGGGGGATGGGTCCTTGAGGTTGTATATTGACTACAATAAATTGAACAAAGTCATAATTAAGAATAAATACCCCTTACCCTAGATTGATGATCTTTTCGATTAGTTATAAGGTGTCCAGATTTTCTCTAAGATAATGTTATGTTCGGGTTACCATCAAGTAAAGATCAGGATAAAGGACATTTCTAAGATAACGTTCAGAACTAGGTATAGACACTATAAGTTCCTGATCATGTCCTTTGGGCTAACCAATGCGCTAGTCATTTTTTCTGAACTTGATGAACATGATTTTTAAGCAATTCCTTGATCTATTCGTCATTGTGTTCATTAATAATATCATAATCTATTCAAGGAGTAGAGAAGAATACGTTCATCATCTAACTCAGGTTTAATAAGTTCTTAAGAAAAAGAAGCTATATGTAAAATTAAGTAAGTGTGGATTTTGGCTTGAGCAGACTACCTTTCTGGGGCACATAATATCAAAGGATGGGGTATCAGTGAATTCTAAAAATGTTGAAGCAGTGCTTGATTGGGAAAAGTTAACTTCGATTAAAGAGATCTGTAGCTTTCTGGGAATAGTATGATATTACCGCAAGTCTATAGAAGAATTTTCTAATTTAGTCGCTCCATTGAACAGTCTTACAAAGAAGAACATCAAGTTTGAGATGAACAAAGATTGCGAAAATAGCTTTACATAACTAAAGAAGCAGTTGATTACCACACCTGTGCTGACTCTACCGAGTGGAACAGGTGTATACACAGTATATAGTGATGCCTCTTACCGAAGATTGGGTTATGTTTTGATGCAGCATGAGAAAGTTATAACCTATAGGTCCAGGCAGTTGAAAAGTCATGAGAGAAATTATCCCACGACTTAAACTTACCGCTATTATTCACGTTATGAGGATCTGGCGCCACTACTTGTATGAAGAGACTTTTAAGATTTATATAGACCATAAGAGATTAAAGCATATATTCATTAAGAATGATCTCAATATTCGTCAGAAGTGTTAGATAGAACTCCTTAAGGACTACAATTGCAAGATTTTGTATCATTGGGGCAAGGACAATGTGGTAGTCGACGTGCTCAGCAGAAAAAATACAGGTATGTTGGCTCATATAATAGTTTATGAATGCAAGGTAATAGGGGTTGCACAACATATACAGTTTCAGTACTTGAATAGGGTTACATGTCTGACCCATGTAATTATCCAACCTGAACTGATTCAGATAATAAAGGAAGCCTAGCTAACGATTCCACTCTAGCAGGTCTTAGGAATGATACGAAACAGAAAATAAATTCAGAATTATGAGTCTCTATCGATAGGTTACTCAGGTTACGGAATAAGGTATGTGTCCCAAATGACAGTGAACTAAAAAGAGACATTATGACAGAAGCCCATAACTTAAAATTCACCATGCATCACATAAGTACTAAGATGTACCAAAGAATGCGGCCCTATTTTTGGTGGAGCGGGATGATAAGAGAAATTGACGATTTTATCTCTAAGTGTCTTATATGTCAACAGGTTAAGGCATAAGATCAACGCCCAGGTATACTACTTCAATAATTTCCGATCCCATAGTAGAAATATGAA